AGAGATATATTCAGTACTACTGACCGTGGTTTTGTTCTACCGCTGGACTAAGTTATTTTCCAGGTTATTCTTGCCAGTAACTGTCAGTAAACTATTGTGATGGCTTAGGACAGTAGTCATACAGTCAGTGTATAAATTTGTTTTTCAATTACATGTTTTCATTTTGTCAGATTACCCAATCCTTGGTAATAATAAAACAAGAAAAAAAAACAGATTTTGTTTAAACATGGGGTTTTTACTTGAATGTTTGTGAATCGGCACCATTTAGAACCTGATTTTGCTTTTTCTGTTAGATGTCCTGAAAAACAAGCTGTGCACTATTAAGTGTGAAGGTGAATAAATTTGATGTGTTCAATTAAAGTAAAGATTAATTTATAACAGACTGGGGAGCTCTTGCATTTAAATAAGTCAACAATTAAGAGATGCTAATAGCTTTCCTTCCTCCCCTCCGAACAAGTACAGCTATAAATTCTGAGAAAGGCCTTTCTTGTTCCAAAGCTTTGGTGTTAGAACTCTTTGTTGGACTGTCATGTCAAGATATGCATGAATGTATATGCTTAATGTGTTTGCAAATTATCATTTTGCCAAAGTAGGGCAAAAATACTGGAAGCCTACTCCACTGTTCACCCACCATTTGGGTTTCATAGGAAGAACTGTATATTCCATAGTCTTAGATAGTGAAGCAAATGGTACCTTCCCTCTTCTCACTCACACACACATCCACAATCATTTTGACCTCGTGTATACCTCCAACGAAACCCAGGGGGATCAATTTACTCTTGTAGATTGGGAACTGAGCATCTGAGATAACCTTATGATACCTAAGAGATGTCCTATTCATAAATTAGTGCTACCTCCACCCAATACACACACACAAACACACACCCTCCTTTCTGAAAACTATTCCAAAATACAACTGTATTACAGGATATTCCTCAGATTTCCATTCTACATTAGCTGGCTAATGACATCCAAAATGAGAAAACACTGTTCTTGGGTATCTTAAGCCTTAACACACTTAGTACACTTAGCAAAAATAAGAGGTAGAAGATCCTAAAGTGTTCAGAGAAGCAGTCTTGAGGAGGAAGGGAAAAGTTAAATTTGTTCCAAGATTTTACATTTTAAATATTTTAGGTCTTTGAAACAAAGCAATAAAAAGCTTCCAGGTGTAAAACAACATATCTATGCACCAATTTTCAAAGAAAGGATTACTTATATAAATGGATTCACAAGACACTTAAGACATACTTTGTGGGATTTTATTTAGGTCAAGTTCTTAGTACACAGCAACAATTAATTCCAAATACAATTTAAAAAATTAAAAAGTAAATGTTCCCCCTCTTGTCTGGAGGTGGCTTAATGGCACACACAAGAAACAGGACTGGCAACAGACTTGTGTTTTCCTGCGTAACTTTCCCCTCCACTTAGCATCAACTCTCCCTCCTGGGAGATAGAGAAGTACCACTGGCCAGATCACAAATTGTTTACAATTTTTTTTTTAAATAATTTTGTTAAAAAGGTGCATGGACACAAAAGTATGATAAAAACTTTTCCCATATAATTCTGAAGTTGCAAAAGACATTCCCATTTTAAAGTGAAAATAAGGTTTTTGCTTTACAAAAAAAACCCCAAGATATTTAGCAAGGATCATTTATACACAGCTAAGCCCTGTCATTTCACTTGTCAATTTGTTTTTAAAGAATTATGAGTGTCTCAATTAGAAATAGGAACAAAGATTAGCATAAAGTAAACTTAAGGTAATGAGCACAATGTTTCCATTTGTTTAATAACTTTTTCATAAGGCTCTGTCCGCTGTCTGTCATGCTGTGCTCCCGCCAAACGTTGGAATGATTAAACATATTTTTGCTACATACACCTTATGGAGAAGATCATATGCACTGAGTGTAGTTTTAGAAGGGTTAAAATAAAACTGTATCTACTAATTAAGGTTGCACTTTAATACACCCCTTTAAACACCACTCAAGATGGAACACTTTGATGGTACTGAAACATCTTATTCAAGTATAAAGACATCAAGTAGAACTCTTGATTTTTAGAGAAAAATACAGCACATTCAATTAAGACACTTGTGCAGTGGGAAAAGCACTAGGTGTCAAGTCAGGAACTCTCCTGTTTATTAGCAGTTAATCTGAAACAAAATAAGATGATCTAGCTCTACAGAATGTCTATAAATCTAAGTAAATTATTTGGGGGTAATTACCACCTTAGCACTAACAGGAGTTTTTGGCCAAAGGAATAAGGAAGTGATTCAAATCTCCACTCTTCAAAGATTTAGTAGGCACCTTCTGTAGTTCTCCCATCAAACGAACCCTTTCAAAGGTAAAGGTGGCCCTCAAGATGTGCCACGCTCTCTCCAGCAGAAAAGGTTAAAAGAAGATAAAAGGAAAACCACTGTGAATACAAAACGGCCTGCTAAATGGAAAATTAAAAATATAAATGAAAACTACTTTGATGCCTCCCAAAGAAAACGATTATCTCTCCTTAAGACTGCCAACAGCACAGCTTCTTTACAGACATGACTGTAAAGATGAACATTCTAAACAGATGATAGCACGAGGAGGAGAACAGCCTTGAAGGAGGGATGAAGATCTCTCACCCAGTGCCTCTGAGGAACACAGCCAAAGTACTCGGGCCCTGCCAACCCTACCTCTTCACCAGGAACAGCAGTGCCTCTGAGGGAGTCTGAAATCAAGTAGCCAAATCCTGGGTAAGATCACATAAAAAATTCATACTCCAAACAGGCTGAATCTCTCAGGTTGAGATTTTGATACACTGGCACCATTTCTGTCCTCAACTTACTGCTTTGGCTGTAGAGCCAAAGATGACAAAGTATTTTTTTCATTCATATCTTCATAGAATTTCATACAGCTATTCAGCCAATGCTTTTCTTTTTTAAGGAAAAAAGGGATGGAGTGGGGCAAAAAGCAGCACTTCAGGAGAGGAAATCCTCTCCCTTTGGATTCCCTTTCCCAGGGGAGAGCGGAGGAGATGGTTTCTTACTAGTCAGCAAATGTTCTACTTGGATCATCTTTGCTACAGTGTCAACATGTAGCATGGAAGATTTCTGTATTCATTTGGGATTCCTAATGCCATCATTTAGTTTATAAAAGATAAATGGGGAAACTTAGGATAAAACAGGAAATACTATCATTATAGACTATTAATAGCATGCAATCTATTAAAATATCACATACATTAAAAGTCTCCAATTACTGTAGGCCTGGTCCAGTATCCTTCCAAGACAATCTATAAAATTCAAAACTGTACAAAAATAAAATATGCAGAAAGTCCAACAGGTACAGTTTTTAGAACAAAAACTCTGCGTGCGTGCGTGCACGCACGCACATTAGTACTAAGTAATATGGGGGAAAACTACTTGAGCCTTGGATTCCCTGCTCGCCACAGCGCTGTAATACCAAGGACTTCACCAGTGTGTTCTGCACGCCCCCATCCTGCAGTTCACCAGCGAGCTGTGCCTCTGCTAACCAACACCAACTGTTTCTTGCACAGTCGTCTCCTCTACTTCTGCTGTGAGCTACAGGAATTATTGTTGGATTTCAAGACATTCCCTGCTGTATGAATCCACTAAGCTTTCTCAGCAAAAACGTATTTATAATTTGAGAACAGCTAATTTCAAAAAAATGTTTTTTAGTTATATACACCCAGTTCTAAAAAGAGGTTAACCTTTCCAAGTATAGGTCCATAAAACAACTTTAGGTCCCTCAGGGCCTTAATGCTTAAGAACAGGTTGAGATGTTAAAAGCACTAAATGGAATGAGCACAGGCAAGTGAATGAAAGCTAAACCCACGACAAGAAAAAAAGTAAAAACCTACACTAAGTTGTCATGGGTGAGGAAAAATAACACCCCAGCAAAAGTTGGGGGAAAGGGCTCTAAGGCTGGGTGTCAAATATGTGAAGACATTTTGGGCTCAGATAATAGATTTGCAAGAGAACTACATTAACTTTTGACTCCATTATCTGAGTGTCTATACTGTCAGTTTTCAGCCACGTTCCTCTATCATCTGTACTACCATCCTGTTTGAGGCCCACATAGGAAACGCAGAGTGCCTTTCCCCTTCGCTGAGCAGAAAGAGGTCACCTGGCTAAGATGCATTTGGGCCACCTCAATGAGATGGGAAAAGAACATTCTTGGCCTGGCTGCTGAACTAGCCCTTCATCACAATTTACTGAACATCGAACCCTTCTAGATTTTCTTAGTATTTATGTTGATTATTGAAGTGATAAAGTCATTTATCTTAAACTTCATTAAATTTGAAACTAATTGCTGTGCAGTTGGGAATTAAAAAATCTTTGTCATTTCAACATATTATTAATTTTTATTGGGTAATTCTTCTCTTTACTTTTATTGGGTAAGTTATGGCCTATTAATCTTGTCCCACTATTATATTCTTAATCTGCATTATAGGGTTCAAGTTCTTACCAGGCACAGTTAAGAGTCCATTCACACAAAGTCAGGAGTATACTACCTTTTTCAGAGCTAAAGGAATGAACAACTCAGACAGCAGCAAGTAACACTGGCCATTAATGACATTCAGAGAGCACAGGAGCAAGCCTTTTATTCCCTATGAATGTCAAGACTTGAAATAGCTTCTTTTTTAAAAAAATTGTTTTCTAAATAGTTTAAGTAGTGATGAAATAGTTGGTCTGCTCTCCAAGACCCTACCCCTCAAAGCAGCACCTATGGCAAGAGTTTAGGATGCCTTTAAGTAGAACATCTGTATGGTTCTGTTTCTTCATAACCCTAGGAGGCCTCATGCCTACCTTGGCCTGTGAGGCAGCCTACCACACTGGAGACATCAGGATACACAGGCCAGTAGTGGCAATGCAGTCTCTTGCAGCAGCACATTAAGTCAAACTGGCACTTGTTAACCATTCTCAGAATGTTTGGGGACTTTCACATTTTACAATTTCATCCTCTTAATCTAATAACTGAAAAAAACGAAGGGATGCAAGTCAATTCAACATCAACTCATTTGGTTTACTCAAGTGCTCACAGGATATACAATTTACAGGGTTAAAGGCAAAATAAGTCATCTGAAACAACTAAAAATGTTTATGTATGGTATTTAAATATGGGGGCCCTCCCTCCTCCTCATGCAAATCAGTGGGACAGGGACCCAATGGCCTTTGAGGTTAACCCTTAGCACAGACATTAAAGAACATTTAATGCCACCGGTTCTGCAGGAGGAGGAATCCCAAGTGTGTACAGTATTCCTGAGAAAGATCCCAGATTTTTGTTTCTGAATCAGTTTTACTCTGATTTGTTTTAGCTACATAGTTATATTGTTATAGCTCTGCAATGCAATGTTCAGAAAGTCACTTTATTTCATTCCAGACAGCTCAGCATAGTTATAAAGGATGGCGGAAAGATCCAATTGTTCTGACTCAGTGTGTTTTTTTGTATTTATACTGGGGAATAAACAAAACAAAAACAAAAAAAAAAACCCCAAACCATTTTTATCGTTTATCCTTCCTTCATTTCACTGGAGGGGGAATCCTGGGGCTTTCTGACAATCTGGGAAGACCTGACTATTCCTGTGAAGAAGCAGAGCCCCGCTGAGCTTTACTCAGAGTAATGCATGATTGACTCAACGTAATTCCCAGGAAAGAGCCCAGTCACTCCATTCATAACACCTTCATACCAACCATCATCATTCTTCTTGATGACATAAATGATGGCTCCTTCCTGAAAAGACAACTCATCTTCCTTGTCTTTTGTATAATCATAAATGGCCACAACTAGAAGAAACAAAGTAGGATGTTAGAATAATAATATTGCTGGACACACAGAACCAATCCATAATATACACCTACTTTTGCAGCACAGCGACTTTAAAAACACAATTCAGCCCTCTCCAATATCTAGCTCTGTGTTGTTCTGTGTCGATCTGAAACCAGCTCACAGCTGACCCTCCAGCGAGTTTTCAGCTGTCAAATGCACAGGAGGAGACTCCACATTTCTCCAACAGAACTTCCTGCTCACCACTGGGCCACCACAACTCCCATTTTTAGGGTGGTTATGTTCTAAAATGAACACAAATGGCAGAGAGAGCATTTAGTCAAACTTAAGGAGGTCTGGTGGCACGGTGCATTAAGTGCTGTGTCACTAACCGACTGTCACTCCACCAGCTGCTCCAAGGCAGAAGGATGGGCAATTTGCTCCCATAAAGATTTACAGCCTTGCCTTAGAAACTCAACTGAGAGTAGACACACAATCCCAGAAGCAGATTAAGAGGTCCATTTCTTCAACTGAACTTGTATATAAGAATCATATTTTAAAATGCCAGCCTTTTAAACTTTTCCACTAATGTGGTAAGACATTAATACTCCCAAGTTTCTGCCCAAGGTAGGAAACGTGCCAGGCTTGTCTTCCTTTCATGTTTCTCCGCAACACCTGGGCTAAGTCCATAATCTCAAATCTAAACCCTTTCCTCCAGAATAACAATCACTTGTCCTCATTAGTGCAAATCTTTAATAAATACAATGTCACTAAGGGTACTTGAAGCAACAGGAATGACAGATGATTTGAGAAAGAATCTGGATTCTTAATTGCTATAAATACAGCTTCCTACAAATCATCTGCATGAGATGAGACCGTAGGCAAGCATCAGCCATGAAAGCTGCCATGTCATTTTCCTATAATGTAGAGTGGTAAGACATTTCCGGGTTGCAAGGAGACAATTCAAAATATTGATGCTAATATTTGTTGTGGTTGTTCGGTGCTGTCGAGTCATGTACAATTTATAAATAAAATATCTAAGCCCTGTTCTATCCTGAGCCATCCTCACACCCCCAAGAGCCTACTGCAGCAGCCACTGTATCAATCCACCTGGTTGAGGGTCTTCCTCTCCTTCATCAAACCTCCACCCTTCCCAGCTTCATGTCCTTCTCCAAGGAACCGCCCCTCCTAGCAACAAGTCCAAAATATGTGAGACGAAGCTTCATCATTCTTGCTTCCAAAGAGCACTCCAGCTTCACCCTTTTCAGAAGATTTCTGTTCTCCTGGCTGTCGATGAAATATTCAGTGTTCATCTCCAACACCTCATCTCAAAGGCGTCAATTTGTTTTCTGTCATCCTTATTCACTGTCCAGCTCTCAGATGCATAGCAAGTAACTAGAAAGACTATGGCCTGAATACTTAAAAGACTATGGTGCTGAAACAATATAACAATGGAAGTTATACAAATGTTTAGTACTTTCATTCACAGAGTTGCTATCAGTCGTCTATGACTCGACAGCACTTCACAACAACAACAATATGGTGCTGATATTTACAAAGCAAATTACTTATTGTGCTTACTGAATAACCTAAGACTTTTTGTAAGTCACGTGCTCTTATACCTTTCCTTTCAACAAATTAACAGATTATAATGAAATTATTAGCTAAAACATTATAAAGCATTTTTAAAGACAGAACATTATTTGATTTTTTGGCAATTAACTCAAGATGCTAAAATTACTGAATGAATGAGTGTATCACACGGGAAAACCTTCCATTCTCATATATTATATGAACAAGGTTTTCAGTCCCACTCCTTTAGTTGAAGACCTTATCTCTTGTTGAGAAAGGTATCCACTTAATGTTCACTATTTTCCAGTGTTGTCTTTTTACAATCGAATTAAAAAGGAATCTTACTAGCCTGCTTCCTTGTGACTAGGTTCCCTCTATTACCACCAGAAGAAATGAAAAGAAATACCTTAATGTGTTAGCATGGTATTCAAAGACTTCCACCCTTGATTCCAGCTGGTTTTCTTCCTGCACTCGCAACCCACCACCCTCGTCCTATGATCCACCCACAGGCTGACCACATGCCGCAACAGTCCTGCCCTTCACTCGCAATCCCTTCTGCTGTAAGGCCTCTCCTTTCTCTCACCATGCTGGTAAACTACAACTCGTCATTCAAGGTAAAGCATAAATGGCATATCCTCAGAGAAGATCTGTGGGAATCACCAGAGAGAATGGATGTTACTGTCATTGTATGATAATCATTAGTGGAGCATCCATTCTGACTTTCAGATACAAAGGAACAAGGTAAGTGCTCGATTTAGTGAGGACAAAAATGCTATTCAATAAATTATCATTCATTTTCTGTACTTCTAGCTAGAAATTACTTTTTTAAGTCACAAATCCAAAAATAAAAAGAATAGGCAGCTTGATAGAAGAGAAATAAACTAGGTACTGGCAAATAAAGAGTTTTGACAGAAGAATTTAATGCTTACAAATGGTACAGACAAGAGCCCACCCTAGGTCTGCCACATGTCAGAGTTGAAGCTAAGACAGCAATTAAAGAGTGTGAGTTGAGCACTGGAGTTATAGGACCTAGACGGAACCTCAGCTCTGCCACTCATTAGTTTAGGAAAAACACTATTTTCTAAGCTTTTTGTTCAACTGTAAGATAGGTGTTTTGCTAGTTTGCTAAGGTTGCTAATAACTTAAAGCACTCTGGTTACTGAGGCAATTCACATTTATGCACATAGCTCAGGGCCTTGTATAAAAGTTGAATATATGTATATGTAAGCTGCTCTTACTAAGAATTACTAGTCTATACAACATTCCCTGCAGCAATATAACATTTTATGTCATGGTGTAAATTATTTTCTAAACTTTGATTTTCTACTTTGCAAAATGAGGAGAGGGTTCTCTTGAGTTAAGCATACATGACTAGCAGCTCTCGCTGGGCTACAATAAGGAGTAATCAGAAGAGTTAAAATAAACCTCAAATGACTATGGTTCTCAGTTCTGCTTGCATACTGGAAATATATGAGGAGCTTTGTATCACTCTAATGCCAGAACCCTGTTTCCAGAAATTCTAATTGAAAAAGTTTAAAAATGCAGATGTATTAAACTCTAGCTCTTAAAATGACTAGTATGTGAACAGGGTCATGAATGAGGTATTAAGTTTGAAATAGCAAAATGAGCTTAATAGGCATTAGTTGAACAGAATAAAAACAAAGGAATCATAAGCTGCAACATAACTTTTAAAGACATACAGAGAGGTAAGAGCTTATTTGGTTTAAAGACATTGAGGCACCAAGAAAAATAAACCAATATTAAAAAACATCTTATGTATATGCACACCCATGTTTATTGGAGCTTTGTTCGCAATAGTAAAGAGCTGGAAGCAACCCGAGTGCCCATCAAAAATGAATGGATAGAGAAGCTCTGGTATATACACACAATGTAATACTATGCAGCACTGAAAAACAAGAAACTCATGAAATATTATACAAAATGGGTGACCCTGGAGGACATTATGCTGAGTGAAATATCTCAGTCACAAAAGGACAAACACTGCATTAGGGTCACTGCTGTAAAATGGGACTGACATCGGGGTTGAGGGAAGGAGGGGAGGAATCTGCATTGAAACAGAAGGGGAAGAGAACTGTTTAAAAGGGATATATGATTAGGTATTATTGTCAAGACAGGATTCCAGAATGAAGGCTGCACAGCAGAGTGGACTTGAGGGGAGAGATATAGAATATGAAAGAGTTTTTCCTTTTACTTATCAAGGAGAAGACTGAATGGGGGGTGGGGGCAGGGAGAAAAATGCAACAATGAATGAGTGGAAACCCTAAGTTTCTGTAAACTTTCATTA